AAAATCAAAGGGCTTTCATTTCCCCCAGCAGAAATGTAACTGCCTCGTTTTACAAAGGCACACACCTGGATTTATTTATTTATTTCTCTACGTCGCCCAATAACTGGTACTTTCAAGTAGGGACTCTCTTCATGTATCTAACAAATGAAACGTGAACAAATCTTAACATTACACAGGAAGGACTGATTAGCCACAACTGTGGTTGTACTGTTGTGTGAGCGCTGTCCCGTGGTTAGAGTGCTGAACTTGGGACCTAGGAGACATAGGAGCCAACTCCTAGGAGCTAAGGTCCCTTCGCCCCCCCCCCCAGTAATATATTTGAGTAGAACCCCCCCCCCCAGGTTGATGGGCATTGCCATTCAAATAATGTGTGTGTGTGTGTGTGTGTGTGTGTGTGCGCGTGTGTGTGTGTGTGCGCTGTGTCATGTGATTGATTATGCGGGGCGGGGTTTACCTGCCCTAATATTTCACTCAATTTTGCATTCTTGCTAGGAGACCAGGGTTCAAATCCCCACTCAGCCATGAAGTTCACTGACTGACCTTGGACCAGTCACTGCCTCTCAGCCCAACCTACCTCTCAGGATTGCTGTGGGGATTAAATGAGGAAGTGGGGGGGACCACGTATGCTTCCTTTAACTCCTTGGAGGAAAATGTGAGATATGAATGCAATAAACACACAAGCAAACAAACTGCTCAGATAAGGTCAGCACTGCAGCCACTACTAGTAGTAGTGCAGTAGTAATTGTAGTGGTGGTGGTAGTAGAGAAAATGCTTCTTCCCATTTCTAAATAATATTAAAATGTCATTATTTTTCATTTTCTTCTCTTATGGTTGCTGCAACTTCTATTAGGGCTGTGCAAGCGTCCCACATCAATTTGGGGATGGGGCCAATGTTTACTTAGGTGTTGTGGTTTTTTTACACTTGGGAGGGGAAGAAGGAGAAGGAGACACTTTGCCTCCCTACACACAACCCGACTGCACTGCATAGAGCAGGAGCATTTGGTTCTGCTGGGTGCTGCTATTGCTTCTTGAGCAAGGCTCAGCTGGAACCAAGAAGCATCCTAGGGCACCTTCACTTGAGGCGGCTGCCATCACCTGAAGTTCTGTGGTTCACCACATGGGGCAGCCAGACACAGCACTCCTGATGCTCCAATATAACCAAGGCTCACAACCTGAGATGGAGTTCTTCAGCTGAAGGGGTGAGATTATAGACAAAGGTTTGATTCTCAATGGCTGGAATCACCCCGGCCAGATAGCAAGTTTAGCGTCTCTCCCACAATTGTGTCTGATGACAGCCTTTGAATTTGCCCTGGAAGTGAATGGCTGCAGTTCAGGCCAAGGAGACATTATGAAGCTGCTGTGATTATTGAGTCTGAGCATCTAGACCAGTGTTGTTTGGTTACAAGTTGCTGGAAGCAGCAGGAGGAGACAATGCTCTTGTGCTTGGGTTCAGGTTAGCCAGATGGGTCATTGACCCAATCCAGCGGACTCTTCTTATGTTCTTAAGTGAGGGCTCTTTGGGGATTCAGGCTGGGTCAATGCATTTTTCTGTCTTAGGCAGAATTTTTTTGCAAGGCACATAAAGAAGCCAATTGGACCTGTAGTTGAATCTTCCCTGTCCAGCAGAAGAGTCTTTCACTGCATATGAGGGGAGCAGGCTACTGTAATGGGCACAAGGCAGGTCACATGACACTCATAGGTTCACCCAACTCAGCAATTGTCACCTGAGGCAGCTGCCTCACTCTGCCTCATTGTAGGGCCGGCCCTGCCCCATATTCTACAGTGGTACCTCGGGTTAAGAACTTAATTCGTTCTGGAGGTCTGTTCTTAACCTGAAACTGTTCTTAACCTGAAGCACCACTTTAGCTAATGGGGCCTCCTGCTGCTGCCGTGCCGCCGAAGCACAAGTTCTGTTCTCATCCTGAAGCAAAGTTCTTAACCCGAGGTACTATTTCTGGGTTAGCGGAGTCTGTAACCTGAAGCGTATGTAACCTGAAGCGTCTGTAACTCGAGGTACCACTGTACTTTTATAGATGCTTTCAACTGAGGGCATTTGGAAGCAAGCACTCTTCCATTAAGCTATGGGGGGGGGACAAAGCACTACACATGGGACAACATTGTCATGAAGGCAAAGCCTACCCTCTTCCCTTGATGGTGGTTGGCTGGAGAGGAATCCCTCACTCTTTGTTTAAGTTACACCAGAGCTGTTCATAATATATAAACATAATATGTTGAAATACATATATTGAAAAGACAATGCAAGCTCTCCCTCTGCACGAAGCCCACAAATTGTGAGTTCTAAATATAAAAGATTTGGAAGGTCAGTTCCCAATAGAAGGACTAGGTGCACTCACCGGTGCTGTGGATACATGTCTTATGCAATAAACACTCAGAATGACTCGACATTTCCTTGAAACAGGAGAGAGCAAGAGGCATTTCTTACAAGTCATAATTCTGTCAGGAGAGAGAGAGAGAACCTAAATCAATTTATTAGAGATCATCTGCATGTATAATTGTGAAAGAGACCCCAGGGCAAAAAAACACAGGCCTGCTATAATTTTGACTTTGGGACACTGTACATAAAATATATGTGCTATAAATTTCAATCACTTCCTGGAAAACACTGGTAACTTTCCCAGCAGGGTGGAAAGAAAGAAAGAAAGAAAGAAAGAAAGAAAGAAAGAAAGAGAAGAAAGATTATAGGAACCAATTTCCCATTCACTCAGTAGTGTATTCTTGGCTAGGGTTTGGGTAGCACAGTGTTGTTTTAAATTGCTTTTTAAGTATTTTTATTATTGTGAGTCACCCTGGGCTTTCTTTGACGTAGTGGGGCAGGTTATTAATTTGAAATAATAAATAAATAACTTTAACCTTTATTTGTGCATATCCTGGTATATGTAACTGTCAGGGGTTCAGGGAGAGAGGCACAGGGTAGGCAGGAGATGGAGAGCGATGGGGAGGAATTCCAAGCCAGCGAGGAAGAGGATGACAATGACTCAAGAGATTCCATGAGTCTTTCCAGCGAATCAGAGGATTCCCAGAAGGGGGCGCCGGTGGTCAAGGCCAGGGGAGCCCCAGGGGGGAAGTGTCAGGAGCAGGGTGCCAGCGGAAGATCCCAAAGTGGCAGCTGGGCGTCAGGACCAGCCTCCCCACCAGAGTGCAGCGAAGGGGGTGGAGTTTCCAGTGTGTCAGAGGAAGCAGCTCCAGCAGCAGAGAAAGGAGGGGGTCAGAGCAAGCCGCCCTCCCGGAGGGGAGGGGAGCAGTGAAGGGAGTAGTGTAACTGTCAAAAGGAAAGTTAGAGGTTTGGCGCGCGCGCCTAGTTCAAATGTAGAGGCGCGCGGAAGTGCAGGGAGCCCGGAGGAGGGGCCAGGTCCCAAAGCCCGCAGGAGGGGGGAAGAGCAGTCTGGGGATTCCGCATCAGAGGAATCCAGGAGGGGCGAAACCCCAGTGGGCAGAAGGACCCTGCGGAAAAGGAAAGAGAGAAAGAGGTGGAGCAGCGCAAGTCTCTTAAATTGGTGCAGGGGAGGAACTGACTCAGAGGGGACTTCGGCGGTCTAGCGTAAAAGACGTAAGGCTGCGCGCCTAGGATGTCAAGCAAACCATGAACTGCAATAAACACTTTTGTATATAAGAAGACAGAGGCGTTGGTCTTTTGTGAGCTAAGACTTGAGGCAGCCTTGACAGTAACATTTTGAGATGCTTCCTGGTTGCAAACCTCTTTTGTGTGTGTCTCCCCCACCACCCCATTTATCAAAGCAATTGCAATTGCACTGATGACCCCCAGCTGAAGTTGGTAGTAGTACAAAGCTATGGTGGTGTTTTTGAACAGAAAGGAACAAAATGACTTTGTTGAGTCTTCTCTGAGTATAACTTAGTTGGAGACAGCACAGCACCACAAAAATAATAGAAGTCCAATGTAAAAATGATTTGAATTATTATTCACAATGATTAGCAGTGGACTTATCTATTTATTGCTTTGGTCGGCAAATGAATCTGGAAAAGCCTGGGTGAAAAGAAAAGTTATTAGCTCGTGCACAAAGCACAAAATCATAGAAGCCTGCCACATTGCCAGGAGAAGGGTGCTCCAGATAGCATGTGCCACCACTTGAAAGGCCCTACTCTGAGTAACCGCAAGCTGAATGGTGGGTGACACAATGGATCATCTATGAATTAACCCAATTCCTTTTGAAGCTTGTAGACATTGCCACATCTTGGGATGGCAAATCCCACAATTTAATTAGGCTCTTGTTGGACTTGTATCTCACATTGGCAAAGTCCTTGTGTCAATTAATGTACTGGAAGAACATTCTGTATGACTTGACTACTCAAATTCAGCTAACAGAGGGTTAACCTTGATTCCACACCTTTCTGGTCACCCTGCGGTGTGTGTCAACATTTCAGAAGTCTGGGCACAGTAGGGGATTTTTCATACTGTACTACATCCTTCAACAAAGCGGCACCCGGGGAGGCATGAAGGACCATCATTTTAACCTTAAAGAGGAACTTCTTGACGTCCACTGGTTTTTTCAGCCTGATTCCACTTAAAGGTTCTCTGTAACACTGTCCTCCTTTTGATTCTTTAATTTGATATTTAACAGCAGCCTGATAGCTACTATTTGTCACACTAGTAGAAGCTGACACTCCATTCTTGATGTGCGTACTGTGAGGATTTGTGACACACCTGTTATGTCATGGACAGAGAGTAAGTTCTGCTCCTGCCACCTGGGGAGGGGAGGGGAGGGGAGAGGGGCAATGACCGAGCTAGAAGTTAAGACTCGATGGCATCACACGATCTCCTAATGATACAAAGGTCTTTGGCAATGTGGTGCTACAGCAGGTACCTTGGATGCATCTAGCTCAATCTTTTGCTCAGTGCAAAATCTGTGATGCAACTACAGCATCCCAGAGAGATGGCCACCCAGCATCTGCTTAAGTACCTCTAGCAAAAGAGAGTCTCTTTAGGCAGGTCAAGCATCTCTTACCACTAGGAAGACTCTCAAAATGTTTAGTTGGAATTTGTTTCCTTGCAATTTCCACCCACTAGTCCTTCCCTCTAGAGCAACAGAGAACAAATCTGATTTAGCTCCTGCATGATAGTTCTGCATGATAGATATTTGAAGACTCCTATCACATTTCTCTCTAAATGCCTCTTCTCCAGGCTAAACATACCCAAGTGTCCTTATAGGATCTGGTTTCTAAAGACATAAGAACACAATAAGAGCCAGCAAGATTAGGCCAAAAGCCCGTCTAGTTCAGCATCCTGTTTTCACAACGGCCAACCATGGGAAGCTCAAAAGCAGAATCTGAGTGCAACACCACTTGCTTCACTTGTGATTTCCAGAAATTGGTATTCAAAGGAATATCTCCTCTCATGGTAGAGGTAGAACATAGCCAGTGTGGTTAGTAGCTGTCGATAGTCTATCCTCCATTACCTTGTCCAAACCATCCAAGTTGGTAGCCATCACTACTTCACGTGGGAGCAGATTCTAGAAGATCACCATATTGGTCAAGATCCTCACAAAGTCTTCAGTCCATAAGAAGCAGGGTTGGGGAACATCTTCAGTTAATGGAATGCATTTTCTCATGGACATATGTCTGGGGGAGCCACAATATACAAGTAGTGGAAGGGACTCAGAGGCGAAAATAGATTGGGTCAGAGGGAAAGGATGGTGGACCAATGGATGCTGCTCAGACCTTTGTACAGCAGACCACATTCCAGCTGCACAAGAGCCAGAGATATCAGCACACACATCTCTCCATCCAGGGCACAATCCAGCCAGGCAAAAGCACCTGAAGAAAAAGCAAAGGAGAGCTGCAGAGAGGCATAGCCTGAAGATGGATATATGGTTCTGGAGAGCTATGGGTGGTCCATGGACTGGGTGTTCCCATCCTCTGCTATAGTTTTCCATGGGCAGTAGGGGTTTGATATGAGAGTTTTTGGAAGTAAAGCAACCCCTTGCTTTGACTCAGGGATGATGCAGCCCCATAAGATGACCATACCAGAGTACTGGAATCAACTCAATAGCCAAAATGAAACAAACAAACCCACCCCCCCAAGCCTGAATACTTCTAAATGTCAAATTAGGAAGAATGGATGGAAGAAATACCCATTTCTTTTCTACTTTGATGTCAGAGCAACAGTAACCCCCCCCCCCCAAGTTGTGGTAGACTTTGCAAAGCACAAATGGCAGTTTAGACACCCTAACTATTATTGATTGAAAATATTGACAGAAAATCAATGGCATTTAGGCCCCTAAAGTGCCACATGTGCCTTTGAAAATCTATTCCGTGATTTAACATCTCTGAGCTTCATTTTCTCCGTGTGGGAATAAATAAAGCACAAGGTATTAGCTTCACCTCTGAAGAGTTTCTCGAGGCACAGGGCAAGCTGTTCAACTGGTGCAAATTGGCATGGCTTCACCACCTTAATTTGTTAACTCTCTAAAGGGCTTTGGGGTCATACAATGGGAGGCACCACATTTTTTAAAAAAGGGAATACAGGGATGGCTGTTAAAATGAATTTGTGGAGTCATTGGCTTAGAGATAGAGAAAATCTGTAGTTAGAGTTCATGCACTGTAAATTGTGGTTAAATTTGACTTCATAGCAACAATGGAAGCAGCAGCCCTCAGCCATCCAACTTGCATGGGTGGCTTCTCAAGAGCAAGTTCCATTTGTGGGGAATTGGCACATGTTGGGGGAACCTGTTTGTGTGAATGGACTTAGAAATCAGGTTTCTCTGTCAAAGTCTGGCAATTTTCGATTTTACACTTCCCTATGTAGGGGTGGGAGCAGGAAGGATCTTATTTCAAATTAATTTGGGCTACAATCCAGTTCTCACTAAACTCGAAGTAAGCCCCACTGAACTCAATGGGTCTTACATCTGATTAGACACACATAGGGTTCCATTGTTCTTCTTGGATTTTGCTAATTAGGGTTTAGGTGATTATTTTGGCATAGGGTCTGCCAGCATGGCACCCATGGGTGCAATTGTACTCTTGAGGTCTTTCCCTGGTGCCCACAATGCTTCTGAGATCCTCTCACTGTCCCTTTGGTCATGAGGCAGTAAGAGCTGCTCAACAGTGGAACAAACTCCCTTGGAAGTTTTTAAGCAGAGGTCAGATGAGCATCTGTCATGGATGCTTTAGTTGAGATTCTATGATTCCATGAAGTGCATATTTTGAGTCACAATTCATTTCAATTTTTGACTCTGAATATTTCAGAGAAGATTTTAATACAGCTGCTTTATTTTTAAAAATACAGACTAATACTGAAGTGAGAAAGAATGTAATCAGAAGTCCACATTAGGAATAGATGAATCCGTCAATTTCAGTTCATCTCAGTTACACATTCTTGACTGGATAATGGCATTTCAAATAAAATCAAAATGTATTGGACAACCAAATACAGGTTATAGTAAAAAAAACCAACTAGCAGGCAATCAGATTTTAGCAGACAAAGTTAATAAGAACAGCAGAATAAAACACATGTAATAAAACACACATAATAATAAAACATAAATTCGAAAACACATGTGGCACATATCTCAGGTCACAAGGCTAAACTCATAGGCTTTCTTGAGTTGGGAAGGTTTTGCCACAAACTTTGGTGCATTGAACATAACATGCTAGATAGCAGATGCTTAATTTTGTCAGTGTCATAAAGGGTGGTGATCAGCTCCAAGAATTTCTTCAAATACTTTGCTCTTGGCAGTTCCTATAACTTACCACATAACATATAGTTTATAATGCCCTCTGCTCTCTGGCATCCACAGATGCAAAAGCACTGTTCCCTAGGAATTTTCTTGTAACTCCCATCCAAAATTTCAGAGAAGGGAAGCTTGCAAAGGGTGGTTCTGTTTTGGTTCACTTTTTGTTATGGGAAGCGCAAATTGTTTTTGTCCCTGACTCTGCTCAATTGCTTTGGGTCCAGGTTTTGCGATGTCCTCTTCTCTTTCATTAGTTTTTCCGACTGCTTACATGTATTATGCAACTTAAGAAAATAATGAAAAGCAATTCCATCCCAAAAGGAAAGTGTGAGTTAGGTAGGTTCTTCCCCCATCCTGAGGACTCTGAATGTGGAAGTGATGTCGGCCAGGAACAGAGTGACTTGTCCATCTCTGGCTACTGGAGGAGGGTCATGGATGAAAAAATATTCCAGTGTGATTACGCCAGAACATGGGTTAAGATGGATGGGGAAGAGGACACTTTGCAGATGCTGCTTTCAGTGTCAAGCCTGTGCTTTTTGCAATATAAAGCCTTGCTCCTCAGCATAAGGTATCAGTGTGCTCTTCTGAGTTACTAATAAAACGCTTCCTTTCATCTCAGCCTTCCAATGCGCTTGCTCCACCTAACGAGAGTGTGGGAGGCTAGAAGAATTCTTGACAATGTGGTAACATTTAAGATTTCCAGCGCATTAATACTGACATTTTGTCTTCTAAACAATCACAGGTAATGAAGGTCAGTACAAGCAAACATTCTGTCTATGGCCCTTAGTTGAGAGCTGGCTGCGCTTGAACGTCACAGCAGGAGACTGCCAGGCTTAGAGTCTTTCCTCTGCGTGGCTTCCCTTCCGAGGACTCATTGCAGCTGGCTCCAGCATATGGTCGACCACGGAGATATTTTGTGGGGTCCACTGCCTCAGTAACTATTTAATGATTAATTACTGCTGGCTAATGTCAGGATGAGATGCTGAAACCTGCCGGCGAAAGTCTTAACTATGGGAAATGGCAGCAGACAGACTTTCTCCCCCACCCCCACAAAGAATAAGTTTTCTTGCTCAACATCGCCACAGGTCACATTTGATACTATTTGCAGATAAAAAGATGTGGGAGGAAATGCACCAAGTGATCCAGCAATGTCTTTGGCTCATCCTTTCACTAGTGGGTGGTATGTTCAGGATAGCCTTATGGGGTTAATACTGCCCCTGGAGTTTCATGATATTTTGGAGCACAACATTCGATGCAAATTGTCCAACGATAACCTTTTAAAAAGATGGTCCTGTCTGCAGGGGTGGACACTTAAATGCTTCAGTCCTAACCGTGCCTACTCATTGAATTCAGTGGAGCTTACTCCAAGGGAAGTGGGGTTAGGATTGCAACCTTATTCATCATAAAAAAGAGAGGGAATATATCACCAAAAGAAAAGAGGACAAAAGTTGCATAGGCCACATAGAGATGCAAATGTTGAAACTGTTATTATAATTTCATTACAGTACAGTGGTACCTCTGGTTGCGAACGGGATCCGTTCCGGAGGCCCATTCGCAACATGAAAAGAATGCAACCCGCAGCAGCGCTTCTGCACACACACAGGTTGTGATTCGCCACTTCTGGCATGCGTGTGACGTCATTTTGTGCTTCTGCGCATGCGCGAGCGGCGAAACCCGGGAGTAACCCTCTCCGGTACTTCCGGGTCACCGCGGGACGTAACCTGAAAGAACATAACATGAAGCGGATGTAACATGAGGTATGACTTTATAGAGGAAAATTGGGAGCAGGTGATATAATTGCCTGCTCAGTCTTGGTCTTCAGGTGCTAACTCAAGGCCCCTTTGCTCAGTGGTGTTGTGTGCGCCTGTAGCGCCCAGGGCAGGTGTGTGTTTGTGCGGAGGCGGGCTGTGCTGGGGACAGGGCTAGGAGGGAGAAGGAGCCCACCACGGCACCCCAGCTGACCTACGTGCCTAGCACACCAAGGGAGAAACAAGCTCCCTTGGTCACAGTGCCTTGCAGGGCTGATGGAGCTAGTTTCTCCCTCGGTGTGACAGGCGCATGGAGGGACAAGCTTCAGCCCCATGAGGAGTCATGGCCAATGGAGCTCGTTCATCCCTCAGCTACAGTACCGCTGCCGATGGGTGATTGCAGGGGATTGCAGCATCAGTGTAGGGACCGCAGCATCGGAGAGAGGCTGCACTGCCACCCCTTGATGCTTCCAGCCCCAGGCCAGGCCTCAGCCAAGAGTGGAGCAGCTGCTTCTGCTGCCCCAACCCTGAAGGCCAGCCTGGGCATAGCTTTCCTCAATGAGGGAACTATAGCTGCACCCCCCCTCAAAAAATGTACCCAGGTCAACACCTCCCCCAGCCCCCCATGCTACCCCACTGCCTCTGCTCACCCTTCTTATGGTTCTTCATTTTTAAAATGGATTTGGACCAGAGACATCCCTTCAAACAGAGAACTGCTTAAAT